GGCTCACGTCGAGCGACTCAACAAAACGCTAGTTCAGTTTTTCCTGGAATATGTAGAGATTGTTGGTGGTGGCCACAGCAATGATGTTGTCCAGAGGATGCCAGGCAGTGTGGAGGATCTTCTTGTTAAAGTCCAGACTATCTACACTGATCTCGTCCTTTTTGCGCTTCCCACCTGTGCTTACTTTGCGAGGTTTCAGGACAGAGCGTGGCTTGCTGTTCTCCCGCGACGCCTCCAGGGTCACGTCCTGCCGATAGCCTCGATCAAACATCCTGAAGAAGTTGTTGTAGGAGCCGGTCATCACAACGCTGCAGAGAGACATGGCATGAGTGATTGATGGTACAACACACAACAATCAAAAGGTAGTGATTCAAAACAGGTTGTTCTCTGGTCGTGTACCAATACCAGGAGCATAAGTAGAAAACCCCTCTGCTACCCAGGGGGAGTCATGTGCAGCCTTACGCTCTGCACTGAGCTGATAACCACAGTAATTGATAAGCCCGATGTTGTTGGCCAGTTCAGTTGCGTCAAATATGGGGTGGATCAAAACATTTGCCTGTTACATGCCTATTTAAAATGTGGGGAAATCCAAAGGCATGATGAAGAAACCATAGACATCTACCAGAGTAACAACAATTACCCAAAAGGCCTCTGCTGACCCTGATATAAAAGACCTATAATAGATTAGATACTCACCTATCGTTCCCATTCCAACAGCATTCAAACTTGTCGAAGATGCAGTCATTCTCATAGAGGGAACACAATTTACTCCTGAGGTATTCATGCACCTGTTCAAAAGAATGTGACGAGGAGGTGCTGTAGTTACAATCAAGTGAAAATAACATTACAACAGACTTCTGTGTAATTAAAAGGCCTTACTATCTACAGAAAAGAAACTGATAGTTAAAAAGTATTTATTGTTCCAAGTCACAGACCTGATATGTCTCTACTGGCCGGGACTCCATATTGAGATCCCAGATTTTGACGGACAGGTAGTCTCGGGTCATCATGTAGCGTCCACTGTGGCTGAACTTTACGTCAGAGATGGATGAGATGATTTCAGAGAAGAACGAACGATTGTTTGGATCCTCTGGCTCTTCAAACTCTTAAAAAAAGAAAAGTATGCATGTCATTAGTATAACCCGTCTAACTGCCACTGGCAAACTCTCATCCACTGCCATAGAAATGAAGGGATTAATCTCTCTTTACTTTTTTTAAACTCATGGTTCCTTCCTTTATTTAAATTCTGTGAACACTTCAATATCAAAATATTTGGCTGCTACTCCTACTCCAGCATTGTAAAACTCTTAAGAGCTACAACTTATACTTTCTGGGCAATGAGACTGTTTTGCAGGAGACATTTGGACTTATCATAGTAAGAACAGCACAGGTGTTTCTAATAACACTAATGATGTTACAATGAGAGTGACAGTGAGTCAGCGTACAGAACACCAGGAAACTGAAATCAAAGCAGCTAAATGGACATTACGAATATTTGATTCCATTATTTACACCTGTGCTTTACTGTGACAAGTCAAAATATTGTCCATGAAGGGAAAGGCCTGTAGTCTGAATGAAGATTTGCCATTTACCATTTCTCCCTCAACTTTCTGCTTCCACAGACTATAGAGCTCACACAGGTGTACGGTGCCTCACTAATTAAGACTTTGCTGCAGGAAACTTCAAGCTTGTTTAAAGCAGATTTCATTGCAGATGCTGGTGCTCTGCTGTTAGAGATGCTACCTCCCACCCAAACTGTCCAGGACTTAAACACAACTCTAGTCAACATTTGTGTTGCTTTATAAATATACTATCGCCACTGCCCTTTACGCAAAGACTGGCCCCACAATTAAAACGGTCCGATCAGGGATTTGCAGGCTCTTGATATGCTTTAAAGCACCGTCTTCCACTAAAGTCAGCACAGGAAATATAACCCATTTCATTGTCTGTTATCCAGTTTCACAGAGACACGCCTCTGAATTGAACAGCTGCCCTGCAAGCACACGGTGTAAATGACATTGGCTTACGTTTGGTGTGCTTGTCACACAGCGCCGATGCCCTCATGTCACACAGGCGGATGGTGCCCTTGCTGCTGCTGTAGACAAAGGTGTTACATTGGTTGGGGTGAAACTCCGCTGCTGTGATCACCTCCGTCAACTCCTCCATGTTGGCTGGCTTAATGTCAACAATATCTGAAGAAGTGTCGTTAAGGTCAAAAGGGGGAATACAGACATTTCAACCACTTAAAAAGATCTGTCAGAAACGAAATGAAAGAAATTTTTTTTTATTATTTAACTAGTACAAACATAGCCGGCCATTTTCCCAGTGGCCCAAAGGGTTTTGCATTTTAGAGGTTGATATGAAACCTATATATAAAAATCCTTACTTGGGGGGACATCTGGTGGTAGCATCATTGATGACACCGTGGTAGACACCAATTACATTATATGTTTTGTACTTATGTTCAGTCTGCCTTAAAACAGTGTCTACTTTTGTTAGTAGACCAGCACAAAGCCACGATATTGTTTTTTGTATGGCCTATATAATGAATAGGGTTGATCCATTCACTGTCTCAACATATAAGAGAACATATGCAGCAGGGTTAAGTGTTGTTATGGGGACTGAGTGGTGCACAGTCTGACTGAAGCATGGTGGGCGAGTGAACAAGATGCATGAGTGGGATTATAATCAAACAGTGAGTCAGAGCTACCTTGAAGGAAAGAACTAAACAAACCCAAAACATAACGGTCGTTATTTCATACTGCAGTGTGACGAAAAAAGTGAACTCCTGCAAACTGAACTTTAACATGGACAGGTTTGACACTTTTTTCTTTAAACACATGGCAGATGTTAGGAAAGGCCTGAAAGGGTTATTAGAATGATGTCAAGATCTACAGAAGATGATGGCTGCATGGAATCAAAAAACAAAAGGATACTAAAGCTGCGATCGTTGATCTCCAGATTCCACAGGTTGATGCGCAGGTCATCCGCAGACAGGTATGTCTCACAATCACTGTTGACGGAGATGGAGTTGATATGGTAGGTGTGAGCATTCGCAAACACTCGTCTCGGGCTGGCTTCCACCATCAAGTCCATGGGCCTGAATACTGGTACCTGAGGTGAGGAGCAGCGTTAGCATCACATTCATTTCAGGGAGAATTTGTGATAATGATATTAGCATTTATTTTATAACTAAGGTTTTCATGATTTTTTTCACAATGTCACAATGGTTACAAGAATACTTTACCACTGCTTCAACTAATTCAAATTGAATAAGCTTTTAATAGTGCAACACAATTACTCTCAAAGTTATACACACTTCACTAAAGGCACAATCTACTGTGCCAACAGAGAAAAGTCAACTGCAGCATATTAAAACATGGTTAATGATAATTAATAATATATACATGGTCAACATTATTGGGACAGGGACAAAGCAATCGATACACACCCGTAGTGTTGTGACAGTATTGAGATCTCTGTATCGCCCATCTTCTTCCTTCAAGTTGTAGCCCTCTGGTCTCTTGTCACGCTCACTAATTTTCCACAGCTTTATGGTTTTGTCTGCCGATGAGAAAGAGCGGAAGTCATGAAAAACTCCTCTGAAGTAACAAAAGAGTGTGTACATTTAGATAACTTAAAATCCTGCCAAACGGTGTCTCCACAAGACAAGATGGAGTTTAGAATAGCTAAATATACTGACTCGTACTTACTACAGTGAATACATTTAGTGAGAATACACTGGTTTACTAACCATTTGTAGACAAAAGGAACTGTGCCGCATTCTTCTGAGGCAGCCATCGGATCTTGTTGATCTTCTCCTCGATCTCCAGGCTCTTTAGGTAGTCAAATTCAGGTTCATGGCTCTGGAAGGTGCTGTAAACATTGTACTCTCCTCGGCACTGTGGCTGATTCTTAGTCTAAACAATGACAGACCACAGATCAAAGTGAGTGTTTGTTTTTTTAATTTCAAATGGTATTATCGACTTAAAGTCTAAATGTATGAATTCATCAAATGAGAAAAACAAAGATTTGAACGTCTGTAAATCTAGTTTTGTCACATGAGTCACCACAACTTACCTCTGGCTCCTGCTGAAAGATGACAACACGGCCCCCCTTGTCCCCAGTGGCGAGTAGCTCCCCGGAGTGGTTGAATTCAACAGTAGATATGATGTCCGCTGTCGATGAGGTAGTGTAATTAGAATAACATTTTGTATTTAGCTAGGTGCCTGAGTCTTACTTGCTACTGTAGCAGGGAGCCTGCTGTGTACATCTGAGGCGTGTTCAATGTAAAACAATGTTGCACCGTTATACGAGGCTTTTCTGGTGAAATGACTCATTTCCTGTTAATGATACCAAAAATCCTTGAAAAGCATATCAATCAAGGTAAAAAACACCATACAGCAGTGATGTACAAGTGTGCAATGGAACTAAAAGTCTACTCAACACTTGCCATTTTTCAGGACTTTTAAAAAAAAGCATTATCATCAAATCCTACGATACAACAATCAGTCCTTGTTTACAGGCTGGCACTATTCTGAGCTAGTGCAAACCTTAATATACACTACGGTGTTGTTCTTCTCCTAACACAGCACACAAAGTGCCTGATACAATCCCGACTCCATACAAACCTTCATATAATGCAAGAGTACGACACTATTGTCGTGTTTTCAGCCTGTGTGCACTGCTATGTATTGACACAAGGAGAGGATCACATGGAGACCTTTTCTGAGGCAAAGCTTACCGTCAACAACTGTGCAGTCCTTCACACACAAAGTCCATCATCTACTGTAAACATAGGTGTTTATGGCACTGGTGAATTAAGTCTTTGCACAATGGGGGAAAGGAGTGGTTACAATCCACCACTGGTTTATCTGTTCATATCGGAGTAAAAGTAACAGTATATACGGCGTATATAAAATATCCCACATGGGCTCTAGTTTTATGTGCATTAATTATCCTTCATTGAATTATCTGCTGTTTAAATATTACCCATAATACCGCGAGGGTGACTTCAACTAAAACACGAACAAGATTTCCTCTTTTATCCATCGTGGCATCTAGACATGCAGGCAGTTATAAAATGCAGCAAAGCGTCAATCCAGACACAATGTTGTTGTTAGTAAAGGCTAATCGCAGACATCATTATCATCCGTGGTTTCTAGTGGGAACTACTATTTGGTAGAAAAGAGTTCAATCAAAGCTGTCCTAATTTGAATTATCAAGTAACCAAGAATGTGTTTCTGGAAAAGCACATTTTGTTGTTATAGTTTTTATTTGGCATGGTATTTTGTGATGCATGACACATGAATTTCCCTTCACCTCCATGGTATTGGGTCTTGCAGTAGAAGTTTCAAAATATAACACCATTTGCGTGGCTGGATACAGATGGAGTTCAGGAGGAAAGCTTTTATTTTGACATGGCCCATTTTTCCGTTGAAAGTAGGACTTAATAGCGACACAATTGAAGTTTAACACAAGCAAACAGATTGCTAAAATAACCCAAATAAACACATTGCTCCAATAACCACTACTAGTTTAACAGGCCTACAGGACGATCATCAGGTATGTTCCACACCAATGACCCTTTTACGACAGGTTAATGCTCTACAACAGCACTCATAGAACATGCATGAGACCTGAAACAAAACGTGTAGCAGTAGCTTTAAAGCTAACTTCAAAACAAGCATGCACATGATGCAGACCGGACAGTGCGGGGTTAGCCACTGCTAACGTTAAGTGAACACCACATGGACTTACCTTCCGCGACATCATCATCTATCGCTCCTTTGACTTGGGAAAAGCACCACTGCACATCACTGTTCCCACCACCGGCCCCTACAAGACACACAAACACAAAGTTATAACACACCGCCCTAAAAAGACAACTTTACACGCGTTACAGTCTGGCGCTAACTTAGCTCAAATATCAGTTATGAGAAGAAGGTCGCACGCTTCGCCATGCGGAAGACATATTTTAACTTGCGTAGTATATTCTCAAGCAAAGGTAACGGTTGAAGCAGGTTTTCTGTGGGAAAACTCTCACTTTCGCACGGCCAATGACACACTAGCATCTTGGAAGTATCCTAGCTTGCTAGCTAGCCTGCGGCGGTTAACGTTCACCACAACAGAGAGACAAACGCATCATCCACGCTGAACACAATATTAAACCGTTGAATATTAATAAAGCATAAGACACTCTGACAGTGTTTGCCTTCTAACTTAGTTACCTGCCATGGTGAGCGGCTCAGACAGAGGGTATCTGTCTTGGGCCCTGGACTTGGAGCTGCTGACCCGGGTCTGATGGGTGGTTCTGACCGAGGAGCAGTGGAGGAGTAAACCAGTAGTAAACCAGTAGTACCGCTGCTCGTACTAACTCCGAACACCACACAAGTCGTCGTCCCAGTCGCTATAGACAGCACGAAACTGCTTTAAACCAAAGAAAGTAAGCTACAATCCTTAAGCACCGAATGTTAGACTTTGCACTCTACTTCGAGATTTCCCTCGCCTCTGCCTCTCCCAGCATTTCAAAATGGCGCAACGCGGGCGGCGCTCGGCAGGCATCACACAGAGAGCGACGAGGGTGCACCATGACATTTTAATCGCGCTTACTCCTGAGCCGTCCACGACGTGGCTGTTTTTCCTGTCCCCGGATAGCACATGGTTGATATCTTTATAGTGTGTTTAATTTTTATTTAAAAGTTACAAGGACTTATTTTTTATTTGAAAACCCTGTTATGTCGAACCCCCGCCCATGTTGATTGTTACAGTAATTGAAATCGAACGCAGGGTCAGTTTTTGGTTTAACAGCAAAAGTGGAGCAAAAAAAACGGAATAAGATTTTATATAGATTTAATTTAGAATATAATGCTAACTTTTAACATTAAAAAAATTAAGTCTAAGTGGAAAAGTAAATATAATTCATACTATATAGCGTATTGCAGTTACGTCAATAATAAATATTAATACATTTTGGGGTGGTGCCCCGGACAACTTACAACATCCGAGCGTTTGCATGTTTGGTTTGCACGCATAAAACACCCTAAAAACCAAGGACTTCCGGGTTCCACCTGCAACTACCACTGAGCTTCCACAGGATCTGCCGCAGTTTCTTGCACTTGCTGTTCTTCCGTTGTGGAGGATGCCACTCTGAAAAGGGCGCCTCGGTGCATATGTAAAAGTGAATCATGACAAACTAAGTGCTGCCGTGCAGACACAAGTACAGGCACATATACCTGCACTGAGGGCAAGTGCCCACAAGGGCCAAAACATTGTAGACCTTTGTTACAACAGACATTTTGAGTTTTCATAGCTAGAAAAGCTCAGGTGTTATTATTGATATTAACGTTGGCTCTGTACAATTTAAATGTCCCAATAAGCCACCATGACAGCGTGACAATGAGACAGCGTGCACAATTTGACCCTGAAAGTGAAGCAGCTAAATGGCATTCATCTGTTATTCATTTTATTGCCTGTTTTATTGTCTGTTCCCACTGTGACATGTCAAAATGTCTTCCGTGTCCATGAAGAAGGTGAGAGATCGCTCTCCCAATCGCACTCCTTGTCCATTGTGGGTGCATTTTTAAGTTATATGGTAAAGATTTTTAAATAATTGTTTTTGGGCATATTATGCCTAAAGTGCCAGCAGAGAGATAACAGGAAATAAGGGAGAGAGATAGATGCAAAAAACTGGGGACATTGTTGGACGGCATTTTATCCCCTAAACCACAGGGGCACCCCAGCTTTGGACAATTTGACTATTCACACATTTATTTAGGAATATGCACCATGTGGACAGTATGCATTGAAATGATAAAGGATTTATAAGTCCATTTTAACTCTACAAGAAAGGGCATTACGTAAAAATGCAGGTGTTTTCTTAAGGACCCAAACTATTTCTGTTAATATTGTGCTGTGCGTACAATATTGAAAAATAATTTGCAATATATAAAATTAATGAATTCACATGCAGTAAACCTTAAGGCCCCCTGGGAACCTGACACATAAGATCCCATCAGAAGGGACAGCTTTGTTTCACCAATTCATTTAGGAGAAATTAGACACTGAATTGAATTGCTGCTGTTTATATTCCTTATTTACATAAAGATTTTTTTGTCAATTTTCATATGTGCTTCCCAAGGGAAAAAACAAACACCATTCAAGCTTTTATCAATCAAGAATACACAATACTGTTTTTGTATGGTACACAACCATACAAACATGTTTTATATAGCTTCACTGTGGTCATTTTTGCAACTCAGCAGATATCACAGTTTCTAAAATTACACGGTTGCTCGATATGCCTGCAAAACCCTGTTTGGACTATTCCAAAAAACTACAATAAAGCCGTGAGCACTACTGCAGAGGGTGAGTCAAAGAAGGAAACATGATCATTCAGGCTGACCACTCCAGCTGTAGCTGTTGTTGTGGAGACATTAATTTATAGGAACTGCATGGACAACAAATCCCAAGCAGGTCTGCCTGGTCAACTTCATTAATGACCTCTAAGTCAGAAAACAGGATTGTTCCTCAACAGTCACTTTCTTTTTACTTTCCCACCATAAAGTAAGTGGTCCACCTGGCAAGGAGCAAAGCACCAAACAGCACAGTGTAGCTGAAGAGAACAAATTTGAGGATTTCCCTGAATGTCCGGAGGAAGCGTATTATTAAGGGGTCCACGTCCAGAGGCTCCTGCTGTGTCTTCTGCCTGCGACCAGGTTGAACCAGGTGTCCAATGTTCTCACCTTGACCCATTCTGCAAACACACACACATTACGTTTGTCAAATTTCAGAATAGAATACAAGAGAATAAATATAAAACTGTAATTTCCAACTGGGTGGCCCATTTGAAAGGTCATTAAAAAAATGACAATATTATTTGAAATCGGACAAAAAACAACTGACATATGTTCTTTGTTCCCATGCTTAAGTTATAAATAATTTATTTTAGCGCTTTATGTATTATTAAATGTGTTCAAGTTTATTTATATTAGAGGTGCAAATTGACTTGTTCCTAGCCTTGTAGATGCTGAGTCACAAGACCACTATTAATAATTTATCTGTAAATTGCACTAAGTGGGTTCAGTATTGATCTGTCACAAACAAAGCAGACTATTGAACATCAGCATCTATGATGTTTTAAACTCTCTTCAGATATTTTTAGGGAAACATGTGGAAACTGATATGCAGCTTGTTGAGTAACATTGAATATCATGTTCCTCGGACTGCATGAAGTTGCTGCAAAGCTCATATGTGAACCATGTTGGAGTCAAAATAAATATAAAATTCAATACAATCATGCTAATACAATAGCATTGTAATAATATTAATAAAATGTAGTCGGTTTTATTCAAAAATGTGTTGTCTTGTCCTGGTAAAGGTTTAACAGATTTAAACTAAACTAAAACATAGATGAATGAATGAAAAACAAGCTAAAGACATCTTTTATATCTAGTATGAAATAATAAAGTAAAAGAAAACTTCATACCTTGGTGTTGTTGAGGCAGGAACTGATTATAAAGTGGGCTCCTGTGCTTCCAGCCCTGAAGTCCAAGTTGGTGTGTTCTGCCTTGAGTGTTTCAAGCCCTTGTGGCAGAGGAGGAGCCAAAGGCAAAAACTGATCACAGATCTGAATCCCCTGGGATTGATCTAATGGGAGTTTAAGTCGTCAGTGCACCTGCTCCTCACACAAAGGGATTTTAGTGGAAGAGTTTGGCTGTCAAGCAAAAATCACAGAATTAAGTATTTTCAAATCCATTGAATCGAAGCAGTTTCCAAGTCCTCTATCCAATCAACATGGAGGAAATGAACATAGATTTACTCGAGAACAGTTCACCAAAAAATCGGAGTGCTGTCAGCAGGTCTCCCTATACGTTCATAGTGTAAGGCACGGAGGAGGTATTGACTGAAACAGAGATCAAACACCCTCCTGTAGCACAGTTACCCTCTGCCGGAACACGGAGCAAATGGCCTCCTAATTCAATCAGTGTCCTGCGCTGTCAAATCATCGGCTGCCGTGGGCTGAGCTCTCCAGACAGCGCAGGGCCATTATCGGCTGATCGGGGGCCTGTTAGTGCGCCAATTGCTCCTCCAGAGAGCTGGACCGCTGATGACGGATACACTCCCCATCCCTGCCCTTCATCCGCTCTCCCTTATTCACAATCAGCTTTCTGAAAATGATCTCGTAAACAATGACCAAAAATGGTTTCCTAGATGCTCAAGTAATTTAAGAGACGGATTGCAGTTAGTGAGGACTTTATTTACCTATTAGCCCACAAAAGCCTTCAAACATTGAAGAAGTGCACCTTTAATCATCTTACGTGTAACAGCATCTCAAGCATCAAAAACGTTTGAAATCATACATACATATTTACAGCCGCTCCATAGTAGAGCTCAGTCATGGAAACATAGCCAGAGGACAAAGGGATGTACGTTGAACAGTAGCATTAAACCAGCTCTATAGTATATTGTCTGGGTGCAAATCAAGGACAGGAAAACAATCATGGTACCCTGTGGAGTTTCTGACCATTCGAAGCACTATGGAGCAATGTTTTCACAAGTGGGTCAACGTTGTGTTTGTATCATGCACAAGCATGTGGCTGCAGGTGCGTGAAACACATTCCTGTTTCCAGCTTCACACTATTCCACTGCTCCGCAGTTTGTGGATGAAGAAGCGTAGTAAAGCATGAAAACATGGATATGACAATGCACTATTTCAAATAGTCAATGAATCAGCTTTGCAAAAGGAAGAGGGAAATGCATTGAACGGGTTACACACCACATTTTGGTGAGAAACACAGAGTAAAGAAAACTCCACAGGGCACCTTTACAGAGCCTGTTGTTGCTCAGACATCAATGAAACACCTGCAGTACACGGATGTGGACATAAAAAAAAAAAAAAAACAGCAGCTGAGTTTTTCCGATGGATGGATGGGTTGTTTGATGTGGGCAGGTGTACATGCAGGTGTACATGCAGGTGACTCAGGGGATCTGGGATTCAGGCCGGTCCATGAGGGATTTGATCCAAGTCGTACCATTTAGGAGTTTTGTGGTGGCTATGATATACTCCATCCCACTGTCTTCCATCTGAGAGAGGAAACGAAGAGCGGCTATTTCTGCGTACGACACTCCGCCGAGGAAGAACACCAGCGTTGTCCGATTCTCCCCCTGCTGACCTGTGTGACAGTAAAAGGAGAAGCATGTCACTCAAACAAAAAGGTAAAAAATAACTACTACTGTAAGCAAACGTCTTACTTTAACACAAATAAAACTGAATATGAAAGCACCAAATTGTGAAAACACTAATTTAGCCTTCACCCTTCCCCCTAGACTACAGTCCTTTATTATCACCTTTTAAAGTCCAATGTGAGGCAAGCATGTAGAAACAAGTCAACTGTCTAATGCCCAAACTCGCTGTTCTAATTAGCACATTTCAAGCCGAGTGTATAATTAAATTCATTACCACATCAATGTAACACCTACTACTGCCAATATGAAAAGATGGAGGAAACGGAAGGAAAGCCCTGGTGGTTTACCGACAAATGAAGCGCAGCGCAGACACTAACAGCAGCTCTGTGGCATTGTCAGCTTTGTGCCATCAATCTGCTGCCGGTCAGCGGTCGACTTGGACAGAAACAAAGACTGCGTCTTATCTACACGGAGCAGGCCGGAGGTCGTTAACTTTTTATTCTGTTTGGCGAGCAGCAGGGCAAACAGCAGACCTAGTTTGCATCAGTCCTTACGTTTCTTGTGAAGGCCGGCAGGCAGCTGCTGTCTCTCCTCAAAGTGTGGGCCGGGGAGCATCTTCAGCACCTCTTCGATGCTACGCCAGCCGGGCCTGGCCAAGACCTGGGTCAGTCGAACGCTCAGCGGAGCGTAGCCACTGTACACGTAGGAGATGTCGTTGGGATTCTGAGGAAATCCAAAAACACAGGCAGAGGGGTGAAGGTCCTCCTTAAAAAGCACACAGGTTTAATCCTCAGAGTTCTTTGTTTGTTTGTTAAATCATGGACCTGTTCATTGGCGTCCTCCATCCACAGTTTGAGGGTTTTTCTTATCGTGGGGTAGTTGTTCCTCGAGCTGGTCTGTGGCTTCAAAAGACTTGCCTTCTCTAGGTTGTTCAGTGTTAGTATGTGTTCATAACCGTAGGTCTTCAGAATAGATTGAATAAAAGGCATTATTAAAGAAATCATCAACTACCAGTTTCATTAAATAATCATTTTTGAGCAATAAAGCCATAGTGTACTGCAATTCACCCATATTCTTCTTTGTTGATGCATAAGGAGTGTACATTATTCACACAAAGAAGACACCACCACCAAAAAGAAATGGTTGTGTCGTTGACTTCACCTGGAGAATCTCCCTCTTATAGTAGTCGAACACCTTCTGCTTGAGGCCGTTGTTGCAGACTGACTGCATACACACCAGACGCAGTATCTTGATCAGGGGATCCTTTTGGGCAATGCAGTCTTCTATGTATGTGTTCACCTGATAGCAACACAACGTTGATCAGAACCCATAGATAATGCACATAAATCACTTCTCCTTTTTATCAGAACCTGATACAAAACTTGAATAACAGACATAATGACTAATTTCCTATTATTTTGAGGATTTCAATAAACTGCAGTAAAATCATATGAATGGTATATCTCTGTACACACTGATGTGACAGACTAGCTTTGGAAAAACATGCAGATAGATGAAGAATACCTTGTCTGTTTCCACTCCAGTCATAAACTCCTGCTCCACTGTTAGATTATCAAAGAAGGCCTCAGATGCTGAAACATGAGACATTAGTTTGATTTTATGACTTTATAACAAACCAAGATGACACATTAAACACACAATGGTGGAAGAACAAAGAAATATGGGATTCTAAAATTCTTAAAACCAGGAAAATATAAATTATTACTCCAAACAGTGCCCTGAGTTGACGGATAATGGTTACTTAGTTGTATTCAAATAAAGATTGTGCGAAGGTTTTAGGCTTTATTTTGTCATAATTAAAATATGGTGTGAGAATGAGTCTAAAATGCAAACAGAATAAAATATAAAGCAGTTTAAGGGGAAAAGAAAGGGCTTATTTCATACTGGTGATATCCTTGACCAGCTCTGCTATAGACGTGTGGTTGGCCAGCGAGCTCCGAGCTGCCTGCATGTGGGGCAACTGAGACACAAACTGCTTAATTTCTCCCACTGTTTTCGCATTGTGCCGCTCCTGAAAGACAAAACAAATATCCATTGACCTGCCGAGCTGATAATAAGTTGGATACTGCAGCTTTCTTACTTTCTTTCTACCCTCCATCAGCAAGGAGCAGCCTGCTCATACTCATTGCTTTCCAGGGTTAAACACCTCTGATGGTGCATCATTTAGCTTATCTGTACTAATGTAGCTTGTATTACAATGAAAATACCTGAGCTGACAAAAGAATAGCAATATGTTTGGTCTTGTTGAGGCTTGATCGATTGGTACTTTATCTTATCTCTAAGCGATTGTCATCGTTTCCCTAACATCATGGATTTCTGTTCTGACCTTTGTGGTAAAATGCCACAGAGATTACAACCAGATCAGCTGAGATGTCTGGAGGTTATCCGATGTTTACACCATTGTAATGAATATTACACTATGATCATTTTAGAGCAGGCAAATATACAAAGATGAGGTAAGACCAACCTCAAAGGCTGCCGAAATTATTTTGGCCTTCTTGCTGAGCGCTGATCCGACAGCATTGAAATTTTTGTCCCGTATTTCTGCGTACAGCTCCTCTGCCGAGTTGAGCTGCATCTTCTTGGACTCTGTCGGTAAATCTTTACTCGCCTCGCCTTGCTTCTTCTGCGCAAACTTCTCAGGAGGCAACTTCACGTAACCTTTGAGTCAGAGGGAGTAAAAACAAGGACTGGCCATCAAAAACAGAAGCAGCGCACATTTAATAATCGCATGTGAAGATGAATATAACAGTGCGTTCATATCAGACATTCACACAAAGGTTTATTCTGACCGTTAGTTATTCCATAGATCTCGTCGATGAGACCCTCGTAGGTGAGCTGTGTGGCCAGAGGGGTGAGCAGGTCGACATTGCGGTCCAGGAGGAGCAGAGTATCGAACACCGGCAGGATCTGATTCTGACTGCCGGCAAACTCCCTCTTCATTCGCAGCATCATGTTGGCAACATGCTGAGAACAAGCAGAGAGTTTCCTTCTCAAACAAACTCACTCACCCGGCTGCTGCAGTTTAACATAATGAATTCCACTTGGCACAACACTCACCCGAGCACAGTCTCCTTTCCCATATATCTGTGGGATGGTGCCATACAGGGCCTGTAAGGTCATGAGGCCTTTGGCTGTGTGGTAAAGGCTTGTTTGGTCATTTTCCAAGTAGCACTCCTGTAGGAGAAACAGGAAAACACATGTTATGACAGCTACACATAAACCACAGCTGTAAATCTGGATGAAGTGTGAAATTCTTAAAATTTAGTTCAAGAAATCTTACAAATTTGAGCAGTAATTATCATTATGTCATAACATTGAACTGATTTGAAATCGAATCCTCCCTTTATAACAACACATAGATACTTAATAGAGCAGCGCAAAGGTTGATGCATATCTGAGATGTACAAGCTAAACGCACCCTGAAAGCACTTTCATACTCCATGGAGAGCAGGTCGCCATCGTAGGGGATCAGGTCCAGGATGTACTCGTCGATGTTGATGAAGGAGGCCAACACGCCCTGCTCCTTCAGCCGCTGCTCGCACAGCATGCTCCGCCGAGGCACAAACAAAATGTGGAAGTCTCGTGGCGAATGCATCTTGTCCTCACTGAAGTGGCACAATCCAGGACAAAAGTGTTAAAATACTATGAACGACGACAGATGGGACTTGATGAAAATGCTTTTAGCATTGTTGAAAACGAGACACAAACAGACCTGAATACATTCTCAGCAATGATGTCCATGAGCTCCAGTCTTGGACGAACAAAGAAAATTATATTTTTGACGTCAGCAGCGGGGAGCCCGCCACTCTTGAGGGTGAACATCTTTTCCACTTCATGTTCCTGATAAACACAGTAGTAAACATACAGCATGTGTTTAGTTAGACATGGTACACTACTGTGTCTTTGACGTCTAAAACTGTATCTGGGGTCCTTTCACAATACAAACACAGTGCACATAAAGCACTTACCTTCAGGAGAGAGTACTGTGCTATCAATCCAAAAGGCCCCGTCAGATATTCATCCCAAACGATGGCCTACAAAGCAAAGGCACATAAAGTCAAGGAAAAATCCCCTGTATGCGGAAAGGTTTTGCTGTTACCTTTAGCTGCCAGCTAATTGTTACGATAATAAATCGATACGCAGACAGTCTAAAAGAAAACATGGAGATAAACCTGTAGCTATTATCCGATGTCGTGTTTGAACTACTCAAAACATAACTACTTCGTAAAATAACCTGCATGTATTTTGCAAGTGGTGTCGACCGTTGACAGCTACAAGAGGCTAGCTTAACGGTGGGATCAATGGACAATATGTATAACTGTCGCTGTTTCGGCCATGTTTCTATTGTTGTGTTTTCATTACCTTGCTTCCCGCACATTTGTCCAAAAACTCTCGAAGGTCTTTTCGTGCTGCTTCTCTCAAAATGTTTAAATTGACTCTACCGTACGAGAGGTGGGCGGCCATGTTTCTCTATCAGCGTCAACATAACAAATCAGGTGACTACAGCGGCAACACTCAACCACGTGACAAAGGATGATACGACATCAAGATAGTTCACGACCACACAGGTCTCCCCTTAAACCCGAATCCCTTCCAGTTTACGTAGACTCCCTTAACGGTCGAAAAGTATCATGAATAACGGCCACTAGCAAACAGGTTAGTTAGCTATCCACCTCAGTCAAGTAGCAGCTAATTTGTGTTACGCGTGCGTATTGGGTGCTCGTGAAACAACTTGAAAAAAAGGCAGTTCTGAGGAATATCTGCATCCGACATGCACACAACTATCGGTAGAATAAACTTATATTTCGGTTTATATACAGTCTATGGCGTAGACCACATGTATCAGAGTAAAACCTTCACAATTATAGTATTCTAAGAGACGCGAATACGAAAGTAAGAGGGGATTATCCTCTTGCTTCGCCTCCAGTCTTTTCCCGTGTGTAGGTGTGGCAAACATGCACCATAACTGTTGAAAAACTCTGGCTATAATGACGTAAACCTAAATAATTTAACAGTGAGTGTGTTTCAGCACCTTGTGTGTCGAGTGCAGCCATGTTCCACAGTAATATATCTTTTAATTAAGCAAAATAGGTCAATTTCATCCTTTCTTTGGTGCAATAAGCACTCAATCCAATAGATGGCGTAACCTCTGCACAGTAAGAATCAAAGTGGCGATATTCTCTCACTATTCAGACACTGATGTTAAAATATCAGTGGTTACATTTGGAAATGTAATAGTTGCTACTGGAAGGAAAGTGCCAGCACATTTTTTATCATGGTGCAGGAACCACAACGATATTTCACCGTATGGAAAAATAAATAATAAACAAAAATTAAAAATGAAGACGAAAATGAATAGTAGCTCAATTTGATCAAAACCATTGCATTGAAATGCCAATTAAACTTTGAAAAAACATATTATTTTGTGTACATGTTAAAATGCCATAAAGCGCAGTTACAAATCACCACAGCCCATATGGGCACATGATCTCAAATCGAAAATAACTCAATTGGGCAGCATTGATGATGGGACAAATTTAGACACTATGCGCTGTATAAAGAGACAATCGGATCAGGTGATGACTGCCCACTTAAGCATCAGTGTTATCACTTCAGATCCAGGGGTTTCCTTCCCAGGGTACCAAGGGCTTTCCATCCTCAACGCAGGATAGAATACGGGTTCCCACGCATTGTGGTGATCCGCTGTGCCTCGAGCAACAGACTACTACTCCAGGCAAAAAATAAAAACACTGGTTTTGGTGACAGGCACCATGCGCAATGACTGACTCTGTGGTCGCATCCAGGCGCTGCACAGACATTTAGTCCGCATCATTCCCTGACAGCTCCCCGAGAGAACAGAGAGAGAAAAAGCAGGGCTGGATTCTCAGGTAGGCTGTATGATCTCCTTCGAAGCTTTTTGAAACATTATTGCATCCTTGACCTAAAATCACTGTGCTGTTATTGCGTTTGCTCAGTGACTCAGTGCGTTAGAAAAATTATCATTTACAAGTTGAATGAATGCAGCATTTCATTCACAAGAGAGAGATAGGGGCTTGAAATGATTTCGAGGGAACACATTTTATTGCCCGTATTTATTAACTTGATGGAATGCCTTTATGAGCCTATTACTTACTGAGTCATTTAAATGAAAAATGAACATTTGCATGCAGTGCAACTCAGTATGAATAGAGCTGCTGCTAGTTAACCCATATGAGGTACAAATGATGTAAATGAACATTTGATTGAGTCCTTTGTTTTAGGGAAAACATGTCTTACTGAAAACATTGCTCTGCAGCAGAATACTCCTGTCATTCATACAGACGTGTTGATTACCTCCTTATTTCGAATTGTTGCATTGATTTACTACAGCATGCTTTAATGTTGTGATGTACTCGTAGTTTATTCATGAATGGCCGATGAATATAAGTCTTGGTGTAGCTCGATAGGCTTTGCTAAATCCCTCTTAAGATGAATTAAAACAAGACTTTTGGCTGGCTGCATTCCTAAAACGCGGGTGCTTCGTTGTTGTAGATCGGACATAAGAAAACAGACTTAGTAAATCATGTGGGAGATTGTGTGGTTGCGGTCCCTGGGCGTTGCTGCAGGATTTTTAGGAGTGTACACTGGGGCTTGATGTGCCTGCAGACTAAGAGGAAAACATCAGTGAACCCTCTAAATACTGATGTGGGCAGGGCAGCTCTCAACTCCAGCTGTGCCACAGGACAGGTGATTCAGTCGCATACTTGTTGTAATGTTATCTCATCCTGCTTATTACACTTAGTGGGTCGGAGCAGTGAGTGTTGCTACTGGTGTCGATATGAAACGAGGACAGAAAAAAGAAGCTGGGAATCAGCCTCTCAGTTGGTACCACCATCTCCAACTCCTCCTACAGACCTGAAGCATGGGGATTAGATGGGGGAGGGGAGAAAAAAGACTGAATGAACGGTAGATATCTGCAGCTGCCTTCTCTCACATGAGCAACCACAGTAGTGATTGGACGACACCCTTCTGCTAGTACCACTCTCTCTGTGTATTACCCAGTCTCTCTGCCAGCCCACTGTTTTCTGTCCAGGGAAAGACTGGAATTAGTCAAGAGAGAAAAGGGTAAAATTATGCTTCAGGATACATCACATGAAAAAAGAGAGATGGAGAGCACTAGGAAACATGGGTGTTAAGGGAAAAGGTGAAAAAAGATGGAGGAATGAAGTAAGTGCTCTGCACGCTAACTGCATAATTTAAAACTGAAGGATACAAAGCGACTGTACCCATAATCCCGTGTCTTCAGCTTGTCTTCCTCTCGAAACATTCTGTATTTCCAACCATCCTAGCAAGATGCATCATTTTTGACAAATTGCGACCATGTTTATTGATACGAGAGATGAACCAATGGCACTATTATTGCAACAATGACCCGTTCCGCTGCATGGGCTTTGAAATTTGGCACAGGTACCGTATCGTCTACTACAAACACATAAACCGGTGCACGCACATGCACGCACACAGCTTTTAATCATTCTGATTCTCGTCTTCTGATCTTGCCGTTACCATGGCCACAGTTGGTAAAGGTGCATGACTCTATATTCCTCTGTGCTCTTCACGATCCATATTCGGCGCTTAGGACCCAAATCACATGTTATACTAGAAAAATGCGTTGGTTTCTGTGCCTCACTTTCGAGCATATTTTTAAATTTGTTCTATCAGAGAGATTATGCTGCTGTTTGCGGCCAAGCTTCAGAAGGGAGTGGCTTCGTCTTCAAATTCTAATCCGTGCAGTGGATGTAGTGAATCTGCTCGATGAGGATCGATTCCCCATCCACTCTGAAACAGGTGATTAGATCTGCCCAAGCATTGTGGCATATTGGAAAAGACAGTTGTAATTAATGTGGCCTTTAAGCAAAGTTCCCTCAAGAGAGCAAGGAGTTAAAAATCCAAAACAGATTTGGGCTGCGGTCGAATCTATAAAAAACAGCCAGCTATAAGCAACCTTTCTGTCCACTACCAAATATAATCTTTGATTAGAATCCCCTCCGTACATAGCTGCATTCGGCTATTGCCCCAGAGGCTCAGGGTGAAGTCTAAATAAACAAACTTCAAGTCACATAGCCGAGTTTCGTAACACTGCTTTTTGTCTCGGAAGTTGGGCCAAAGCTTATTGTTAGTGTTGCAGTGTTTTCAGGCTAGAACAAGCCCTCGTTTGCCAACAGAGATCTGCTTAAAGCACCCAGGGGCATTGTACCTGCTAGTTTGCTGGTGGGACCAGAGGGAGGGTCAGATATCCAGCAGCTGAACCGTGCCAGATCTTCAAAGCAGAGCAACAAAGAGGCCGGAATAATAGCCGCCACACTAAGGGATTGATAGGAGATCTGATAGGTTAAGAACCATATCTCAACAGACCACCAGATGCAGGTCACTGCTGGTTAGTAGGAAATAGATGCATCGTGTGACGATAATGCCCCTGTCTGGTCGTACTTGTTTCCCGGAGATAAGATGGGAGGAAATTGAAGGAGCATGATTGGCCAATGCATCAGCAGCCAGAACTCAAAGTCCCACGTCTTACTGGGATAAATCCCTATTGGCCGAGCACATTTGAGCCTTACTGCAAACGCTTGCTGTATTGCTCCATGTTCGATAGCTGTTTACTTCTGTAGTTCTAAAATAAGGCATGGACCAAAGAACAATTTTTTCAGATACATTTGAGGATGATTACTAATGAAACCTATAGGATATAGACTGCGAATTCAGTGAGTTGATTTAAGAATGAAAAAGGTCTGATAGGGCCAACAGTGATGGCAGGATAACAGCACGGTAGCTTGTTTGTCACTGGATGGTCTTTCCTGTTTGTTCTACAGCGATGCGGGACCTGGAGACATGCCTGCCAAGAGTGTGCATTTTTGAAACGGTGCAACACTCACACATTCAAGGGGTGAAGAGCCCTCACAGGTGGTTCCACAGATGGTTCCTGTCAACGCCACTGTCTGACTGAAAACATGAACAATTTGTCAATGACACAGACCAAAAAGACCAACAAACATCCTTATTGTTTCCCGAAATAGAGTGGAATAATGTCTGTTTTAAGTTCTGTGATATTTTTCCCCTACCCAAATCCACTGTTCTGTACATAATGCCTTATATAGGCCCAAGTACAGAAAGCGTGCACTAATGCCTGAAAGAGGGGACTTACAGAGGAAAGCAATGGTGGGCTGGAGTTTTAAATAATTAAGAAATGCTGAGTGATGTTTTACTCCTGCAGTGGAGGGTTTCTTGGTGCAGTGCTTTATGATCCTGCCCAGGCCAGAGTGTTGTTGGCAGCTTACAGTCCCCTTATGGGGGATGGAAGTCGTTGTGCCATGCAACTGGGAGTGTTTATTTGCTCCTTCCTACCTTGTCTCCCCATCCGCCCTGCATGCCTGGTGTGTGAGCATTAGACACCAGGAACTGAAATACTGAGCAGAGTTGGTTAGAAACATCTTTGTGACATAGCATTCAGTAGAAAGGGAATTACCGCTTAAATTGGGTGTGCTCCAATCATCCACAGTAAATCACTTGTGTTTATGGCCCTGTCAGCTGTGTGGTGGTACCAGTTATAAGTTTGTCTATGAAAACTGCACAAACTTTGCATTTCTTTTTGACATTAGAGCCACCTACCACCAGCCCACGTGTCACCACAGAATGTGAAGGAGCAGCTGGTTGTACTTTTTTGATGACATGTAGCCTACGTGTGAGTCAAGGTATTGTCAACTAGCTCATGTTTTAGTGAAGGTCTGTAAATGACTCATAAGTCAACAATATGCAGCAGTACACATTAATGGGCTTTACTTCTACATTTTTTTTTACATTTTTATTTGGGGCATTGCATTTTTGCATTTAAGTCTTAATCATAAAAGCCCTGCACCTTTTAATTATCAATAAGATGTTGCCTTCTAAGTTGAGATAGTATGATTGCTAATTATGTTAATTTAGATTTGATGTTGCCTTCCCTCTGTCCCAAAGATGTTGGTACATTTTTTACTTCTGATCGGCTCCCATATAAGTCTGTATTTATAGATGTGACTGAAGAAGAGATTTTAATGAAAGAGTCTTCCCTGATTAGGCACGATGTCCCAGATCACCACAGGACTTGAGTTGAAATTGTAGACCGGCCAAGATTCTCCTGTCTGAGGATCTCAGCCTGTGTTCTGTTTCATAATACATAAAGCAATCTGAGTTACTGCCAGACCAGATGGTAGAGGAAGAAAAATCAGGATGAAATTAAATATGTTATTTTCCTTCTCTTCTTTAACTCGGCTACTTAGATTTGTTTTGCAGTTTTAATATTTTAAATGAAAATGTATTACTTTACATCACCGTTTTTAAATAGTTGGCAGGATAATAAAAAAGAGAAGAAGACATAGTATCACATACATTTTACACTTTTGGAAAGATGAATCCCTTTTTTGTTGCTTGGTTTAACCGTGTTTCGTAACATGATGCATTGTGAATATGAAGCCACATAGGGCTATTACTATGCCCAGTAATAGCTAACTTTAAAAAAAAGCTATAGCTCAGTTATTTGCTGCACTGTGAAAAATTGTGTATGGTTTGCAAGGTTAGTGGGTCTTCAATAGGAAAAAGCAGGGCGTGTTACGGCTGATGAAACATTAATGGTCACAGTAACCTGAAAAAAACATGCATGGTTTCACCAGGATTATTAAATCATAGGGTGGATATGCTATGCTGACATGAATATCAACTCTGACATCTACTTAGAATCAGCATCTTGGAAAATATTTTGGAGGAAAGTGCTGATGTAAGCTTGCAGGGACTCTGCTGGTCAATGATAAGGGGTGTTGGTGGATGATTGGGTGTTGGCTACAGCAGAGCTTTAGGGCGACATCCGATCTCCGTAAGTATATTGTAGCCCTTAGGCATGGAAATACGAATGGAGGCCTGATGAAAGATAAATTAAAGTGAAACCAATTGTGGGACTTCGCATTGATCTTTTATTCTCATTAACCCATTTTAGAAATTGGCTTCTTGGAGGATGGCGAGGGAATTGTTGCCCTGGAATTGAAGTGCAGTACCACGTTGTGTTCCAATGTCAGTATCTTCAATACATTGACAAATAGGACACAAAGGAGGGTATAAAATAATATGTTAGATATGTTACTGAGTACAGGTCGAGTCGACAAAGTCACGCTCCAGTAATAATTGCTCTTTGGGCTGCATTTTACTATTAAAACCTTGTTTTTACGCTTTGTTTTTTGCTGCTCTCGGAATAGAGGAGATGCTCCCCCCTTTGAATCCATGTTTATGGACATTTGATCATCCATCAATGTCCTGCTGCCTCATTGTCACTCTCCCTGCGTTCTTCAGCTCTTGTTCCCACAAGCAATTAACAAAATCTTGAAAAAATTGACAGGCTGTCAGCCATAACAAAGTGCTCTTATTCAGGTCCACTCTTTTCCGAGTCATATGTTCTGCAGTAATGAGTCATACACCTGCCATCAAAAGTCACATAACACCATTAGAGTCTGTGCATAAGACTAGTTACTCACACTGGGCATTCACTTCAAGTATCCAAGGAGAATGCATGCCCGGGTTTCTAAAAATGGATGTAAAATCTGTAGGGTGTGCTCTGGGAGCTGCGTATGTATACATCCCTGAAGATGTACGGATGCAGATTTGTATAGACTGTCCTCCCAGGGCCCGAGGAGGAGATGCAGCTTTCTAAATTGGTCCTCTCCACCCTCACAAGAAGCTCTACTTAGGAGAGATCCCGCTGCGTGGATGACTTATGATGATTGGGCAGATGACTAGCTTGAGTCCATGCTCTCCCTCCGGTCTTTCCTGTTGTCATCTCACACATAATCTGATGCTATTCATGACCGGTGTATTTGTAGAAACTGTTGTGTGGTTGCTTGCACAGTTCTTGGCACCACTTTTTTAGCCACGTATGAAAGCATCATCAAGTCATAGAGGCGTCACGACATTTTGGAAAATACAAAACCCACAGCAAAATATCTGCTGCTCTCCAGAGAAGAATCCACCACCTGACTGAGTCATCTCATATGGGAGGAAAACATGTACAAGATGACTGTTGCACCAAGTCAGAGTCACAGATGACGCAGATTAGTTGCGTTTATAACCTCAAGAGCATCGAGGATGATCGTCCGAGGGTCACAGTGATGTCAGATCTGCAAAATAGCAATAATCAGTCTGACATTTGGGTTGAGATGATTGACCTCAGATACATTTTTTTAATACGTCTGATATGTAAACCCTTTCTGACTGCACAGAAAGTGAAACCAAGCCTTTCCGTGTCTGAAGAATCAAAGCCTATAGTGACAGCTCCTTATGAGAAAAGTGTGGCTACAATCCGTCAGACTATCCTGCGTGCGAATTGGACTGTCACCTCGGCAAAGAGTCCACTTCTGTGATGCAGTAACATCTATCCCCAGCGCCAGAGAGCTCTGACTCGTCTGAGTCAGTGATTACCCAGCCCAATGCCTGACTGCCCCCTCCCATCTGTCTCTCTCCATCCAGCTCTCCAGGACAATCATGTTGGACATAAGTGGGATAATTCATTTTGGCAAGTGAAGGAGGGCCACGCTTGAGAACTTCGGTGTATATGATATATGCCGCGCAGTCAGAGTGATGTGTGAACCATCAGACTGCTACTGAGAAGTGGAAAACGACAAATGCTCCCTGAAGACTGTGTTGCCACTGTTGGTTGGATGCATGCAGCATCAGAGGGAAAAGAACACACCCAGAGTGTCTATTGATAGCACAGCAAATTTGCTGTTTTTCTTTGATTCCTGCAAGCAGTGCAGCAACAGATTACAGCTCAAAATGTATGTACCACGACGTTACGCAGCATTAATACGAGCAGCTGAATGAAGGAGACGGCAGTGCACCCCTCCCTTTCGCTCTCTCTTCACTTTCTCCAAGCTTCTATAGTGCTGTGAAAAGCTGAGGACAAGTGAAATTTATTGATTTTCCTTTTAGCCTTATCGTTATGCATTCCTTACTATATCTCTCCAATACCTGCCCTCTCCTCATTCTGCACCATCACAAAAAAAAGTGAAACTCCAGAGAGGCTTTTATATCCTCTTGTCGCTCCTTTTTCATTCTTTGGCTGCAAGCACTTTCCCTCAGGACATACACTGCTCTATCCTCCAGTCTACGGCTGCTGCAGCATCACTCCATGAATTGCCTGACAGAGGCTCGAAGACAATTGCACAGGGGCACCCATAAACACACGCACACACACACACACACACACTGAGTAGGCTTGCCCACGGGGCAATCGGCTCAGTGATTTCTGTTGACATCATTTGTATCATCTTTACCATGTCAATCTGAGAATTAAATTCTATTCAATTACATTGCTGGTGTATCATATGGATAAGGGCTTTGTGGGAAACTAAAACAGTTGACAGCTCACTGTTTCCCCACCGTCATCGTTTGCACTGGGCTGAGTTCTCAGCCTGCACCAGTACTTCACATACTCTGACGACACACAACCATCCCACAAACAATCCAGTACAGATTTCACTACACGGGGGAACAAGAACTGCCCTACAGATCGTATAAACGGCTCATCAGCCATCTCCATCACACCTGACCACACACCCGTCTCCGACCAGCTAACTCAGAGAAAGAGTAGAGGTGGTCGACAACTGCGAATACACGGACATCACTTTGGATAGCTCCAACCATGAACAATCACAAATTCTGGAGACAAAGAATCTTAGTCATCCTTGTCAGCACAAACTCACCTCCTCCTCCTCCTGTATCGTGGCATAATTGAGCCACTCCTGCTATATGGAACCATCTGTTTCTTTGATATGTGTGGAGTCACAAACTGGAAGAAAATTACACCACCCACTTCAGTGTAATTTCACTCTGGTCACCAATGCACAGGAGGGCTTGCTTTGTTCCCTTTGCAATTCTCACACTATGCTCACCCTGTTAGAACCAAGCATAGTGTAAGCTTGTATTTGATAGATCTTTTTTGTTTGCGCTATTTCTTTGCAATGTTTTCCTGTGTCCATTACTTGCTTGAATATGTCTGTGGAAAGAATTTGATAAAACAGGCTTGGCAGGAGAAGATGGTACTGATTAGGCTGTAAATTTGGCACCAGGAAACATGCTTACATTGCCATTGGTTTATGATATTTAGTTGATATTTCAGGCTTGAATTCGTAGGAAGCAATTAGATGAAGGGAAGATTATTACTTTTCTGGAAACTTTAATAGATTTATTTGGTATTCATTTGTTTGGCTTATGATGGCCACTAACGTGAGGTCATCATTAGCTGCCTTTTATTTAGCCCTACATCACTGTGTGGCAATTAAAGGAAGTGTATCTGGTGACTTGTCAGCACTGGCTCACAAATTTGCACGCAATGTCCTTTTTTATGAGAGAGCTGCCCATGGTGGCAGTTAAGTCGGGGCTGTATAAGCATGAGATAAGGATAGAGAATAGCAAAAAGTGTGGACTCAACACACATAACTTGGACACAAGTCAAACTTTATAAAAAAAAAAAAAAAAAAAAAAAATTCCCACCCAAATTAAGAGCTCTTAAACTAATGTCAGGAAAAGCTGCCAACTTTGTCTCAAGATCGTTTCACGCTGAATTCATCTCTGTCTTTGTGTCTGTCCACCTACAGGCTGTGATAGTGCAGCATGACGGACACAGTGATGAGCAGCAGCTCGGATCGCTGGCAGTCCAACGACAGGCAGAGGACCATGCACGCTAGGTAAGCATGATAGTCAGAACATTTTCATATTGTCAACCTTCCCTATGAGTCTACCAACCCACACTGTACTCTCCTTTGTTTCGCCTGCATTCCTCTGATGTGTGCGATCTTTGACACAGTGATAAAGAGCAGTAAGTAGACAAAATCCTAATCCACCTCCCTTATCTACATCATGTACGATCATGCATCATGTACGATCATGTACGATCATGCATCATGTATCTGTATCATATGTTATTGTTCCGAAAGCAGTATGATATGTTGATGCTGCGTAACCTCAACTGGAGAATATGTTTGTCTGACAGGGAGAACTGGACCATGCAGCCAGGCACTGGTCCTGGTCCAGACCTGACAGATGAAGAGAAAGAGATCATAAACAATGTGATTGCCCGTGCTGAAAAAATGGAGACCATGGAGCAGGAGAGAATTGGGTGAGAGATTGCAAAACATGCAGCGGTTTCTCAGAAGTGCGTGTATACAAACAAAAATCGCCTGTTGAGACTGAGGACATGCATACATTTATACCTGGGATGATTAACGGTGACATTTTAAGTACTTTTACCCTTTGGTGTTGCAGGCGCTTGATAAATCGCCTGGACGACATGAAGAAGACTGTGTGTGGGGATGGACAGTCCCGCTGTTTGCTGTGTGGGGAGCAGTTTGGGTCACCTGGGGCCAGCTCAGTGGTGTGTGAGGACTGCAAAAAGGTAGGTAATGAGTCAGCCAATTATTACAAGCAAAAAAAAAACCTGCTTCCCTGCTGCATATCATACGAACCTTGAGGAAACACAACAGGTCATGGTCTATGACTATTTGTAAAAGCATTGTAAATGGCGAGCAGCTGGAATTTTTTATTTTCTCCTGTCGTGTAGAACATGTGTACCAAGTGTGGTACACAGTGTAGCAGTCGGCCACGTGCTGTGTGGCTATGCAAGATCTGCAGAGAACAGCGAGAGGTGAGTGTTTCACACCAGTGAACACATAAAATAATTCATCTGTCTGTTGGAAAGTCTGTAGCACACATGCATTTATTTATTTCTCAGGTGTGGAAGAGGTCTGGCGCCTGGTTCTTCAAAGGTTTTCCCAAACATTTCTTGCCATCGCCGATGCCATTATCTAAAGGAAAGGAGACAGGAGCCCAGGAGGCGGCAGAGCCTAAGGAGCCCAAAGCCTCTGGGGCCAGAAAGGCAGTAACCCAACCACAACCACCAGGTAGATCTGCCCCTTCAGCTTTAGCCTGCAGTCTTTTTCAGTTGACATTAGGGAACATGCAGATCTTTATAACCATCAGTCCGAGTCATTCTCCCGCCTTTGTGCAGCAAGTTTCAGGTTTTCAAGTTTTCAATATCTAGAAATCTTTAAAAAAGGATCTGCCACTCTATTCAAGCTGCTTGTGAGAGAACAGTGCTGCCTGTTGACTGTTTTTTAGTCAAACTAAAATCTGAAGGCTTTCACGTTTTTGAGTATGTCAAAAAAATAACCACTACAGCTATTGTTCATATGTTTTTCCATTTTACACAATAGGATATTTTCAAAAGGGGGTAAAACCCATCTTTGGACATGAACACTTCAAGCATCTGGGTGGGCGTTTCCCATGGCAGACTGACATCTGGTGGCCTGTGTTGCTGGGAGACATGCTGTCAATGTCTATGGTGTGCCACTGACAGTAGAATGGCATATTGTTCTTCATTTTTCCTTTGAACTTAGATTCATTGATTAATTGCAGAAATGCTGTGCCTAACATGTTTTGTTCAGCAAGATAGATGAACAAAACATGATAAACTAACTATAAACTAACTACACCACAGTTTCATGAGCGCAGCAGGTATACACAACGAGGCTGTGAAGGCGGACAAGTCTGCGTGATGATGTTTCATTGAGCCACTTGTTGGTAATCACCTTTTTTAAAGACACGTAAAAGCTTCAACGTATTATATATATCGTAGAACAAAAGGTTCTATCTCATTTTAGGCATCTAACAAAGAACCCATAGACCTCAAGACGAGGGAGTCGGAAGAGCAACAATGCTAACTCATTTCCGAGATTTAGGACCCGTTCCTGCAGCACTCCAAACGTTACGCTTTTTTCACCCTTTATCCAACAAGTGTACCTAACATTGAATATAAGCCATTTAAACTGTTTGTGTTTGGCAAGACATTTGGGAAGACCCATCATGTTAAGTTTGTATTCCACTCCTAAAGCTAGCAACTAGCATTTTTGCCATCTCTTCAGTCTCATTAGATCAGCATCTGCACACAAGTCTTCTCGCAACCCGCCTCTCATTGCTCTTTTCAAACCTTTTATCTGCTTCCCAAATTTGGCAGTACCGCCCACTGTTGCCGAGGAGGGGGATGGAGAGCTCAATTACGCTGTCGGAAGGTGCATGCTGTGACATGGGATGAGGCTTCAGGTGGTGCTGGCATGATGGGTCACATCATTTGACACTTTCAGTGTGATTACCCGAGCAATGTGATTTCCCCCATAAGAAAAGACGAGCAGACTACTGTATATAGCTTCTGCATGTACAGTAGTCGGCTGCCACAGCTTGTTGTAGTGTACTGTATGTAGGTCAATGCCTTTGCAACGAAAAAGCTGCAACATCAAAAGTATCCAGAGAGACTGGGGAGTATTACAGATTCCACTGCAGCAGGAGCCTGACTTGGTGTGATTAAGCGCGTCTCCATCATGTATGGTGTGTGTCTGTGGGTTTACTGTATTATGCTATTCATTCTTATTTTTAGCACCAGAGCCACAGGGCCGTGCTGGTTACCCACCTGTGGCCCCGAAACCATCAGCTGTGCGCATGGCGACGGGCGGTGCTGGCCCTGAAGAGGCGGGGCAGGGCAGCCCAGTGGTGATGAAGAAGATGGTTCCCGTCCAGAGCTCCAGACCACAGCCTGCTGGATCAGCCACCATGGCCCAGCAGGGTGAGAGACAGCTAGGACACAATCTTTTCTTCACGTCTTTATAAAGAGTCCCAGGCATTAACCAAATATTGCATCCCTAGTGGTGTTATTTCTTTGCAGTCACAGATGATTGAATGTGGTTTTAGGTCCAGTGGCAGGAGATGGAGGGGCTTACTCCTCTGGTGCAGTTCCTCCAGAGCAGAGAGCGCCTCCTGCAGTGAGAGAGGACAAGAGGCAGCCCGCTGCCTATGGTGCTCCTCCTGCCCGACAGCAACCTCCCCCAGCTGAGGAGGAGGAGGAGGCCAACGACTATGACTCGGATGAAGCCAGTGAGTACTCCACATGCTCACTCTTGCGTGATGAGTGATTTATTTCTATTAATTTAAGGTACAGTTTTTTTTTTCATGCAGTATTGGGTGTTGATGACAGTGTAGATTGCATTGCTGTTCCCTTAAGGGGATACCGTGTTGATTCTTGATTTGAATTGTTAATAATTCTATAAATTGACCAATAGTCTTTGCATACAGGATGTATCATTCTGGCAGTGTCGACTGAGCTGGATAGAAAATGACAAATGATAAGCATCATGTGTTTTCGAAGCATGATGATCAATATCCAAGGAACTAAAGCAGAGGAAGACGTGAACAGTAAATCAATAGTGATACATAAGCTATGTAATTGTACAGTTTTTTTTTTCATATATCCCATATCCCATTTTAATGATAAGAATGGTGCCATGCCATTCATGTTCCGCGCCTGCAGCGTCAGACGGCCTTTATTCTCTCTCTGGGGGATTGCGTGTTAATTTATTTTATTGAGGTCCGGGAATGTGGAGCTGTGCATTTGGTTTGGGATACAACGGCTAACAGGCTATAGATTCCCCTTGTGTTTAATTCAATCCCTTGTGTAGGCAGTGAAAATGGTTTCATGTGTCTGTTCTCTATAGAGATGTGACGGTGAGAACAGTTTGGCCCCGTGGTGCTGACTAGTTTCAGTCACTTTGCTCAACTGTGTATAACTTACACTAATTGAATGTAATAAGTCTGATCATCAGACTTTGAGGTCTGATGGATTGTGTGCTTTGATGTATAACCAATTAAATCTATACATGTATTTGATCATTAGATAAAGGTGGATGAGCTAATTCGGCTTATTTTTATGGTTGTAGACTTTAGTCTTGTAAGTACATTTTGTGTTCTTGGAGCAGCAAGTTGAGGGTGAATCTCAGCCCAGAAAAGTTAACAGTTATATAAGAGAAATTAACAAATGACATTTGATCATTTGGTCCCCAACAGCTATGCTAGGCCATGAAACTCCTCCAAAGAAAATCTGTGTGGGCAGCATTTTAGTCTTTTTTTTCTTACCCAGAACCTTATTTTTCGGAATGTCTTCCTTTTGAGACTTGATGTTTATTTGATTTATTTTATATTATATGCCCCTGCGTTTTAATGAGATTTCTGTGCTGTTGACTTCTTTTCTGTCCGTTCTCGGCTGGTACTTGGTCTCACTTCTAGTCTCAAGTTGAGTGTTGTTTAATTTCAAGAGAATATTTCCCTGTATTTATACTCTTAATGATTCAAGCGCACACTTGCAGCCTCTCTGTAGTCTAATGTAACGACTGTTCTGGGTCTCTTTCAGCAACCCTGGGCTCTCTAGAGTTCAGTCTGCTCTATGAACAGGAAAGCAACAGCCTCCACTGTAGCATTCTCAAAGGGAAGGTACCACTATTCTCCTCATTCTCTCACACAAAAGGACAATTACAATCAAGTGGTTTTTGTTAAAAGGTTCCTGAATGGCACTTTAGCCTAATTGCCCTCTGCTGTTCATGATGATGTGATGGACATGGTGCTCTACTTCTCCTCAGGGACTGAAGCCCATGGACTCAAATGGACTGGCAGATCCGTATGTTAAACTTCATCTGCTGCCTGGGGCTAGCAAGGTAAAAGGTGCACCTTTCCTACACTAGGCTTTAACTTCCTATTAAAGATTTATTACCTTAATGTCCTGCAAAGCAAAAGAAATGAAGGGTGGTGATTTGAGACCCCCGAGGTTAGATGACAGCCCTTTCTGCTAGCTTAAGCCTGACACCTTGTGGTCTAAATTGACAACAACATAAAATCGGCATGCGGATGATATCTAGAAACGGATATGGAGACATTGTAAATAAAGTAAAAAATGTAGTGAAGGTATTTTGTTTTTATAGTGTAATTATACGGTGCTGTATTGGAGAATGAGGCAAGTCTGAGTTGCAAAAACAACTTTTGACAGGAAGCAGCACCAAATAGATTCTTCCTGTGATTAAACAGCACAAACCACAGACGTGTGAGATCTTGCGTTGAGCTAACATGCTTCGAGATATTTCCATTACCTTCTCTTTATCTAACCTGCATTTAACAGTCTAACAAGCTGCGCACAAAGACCTTGAGAAACACCCGCAACCCTGCGTGGAATGAGACGCTCACCTACCATGGCCTCACAGATGACGACATGCAGCGTAAGACCCTCAGGTGAACACTGCACCACAACTGGTCTTTAATTACCCTGTTTTAATGTTTGAAACATAATGTGCCCTAAGTTGACTCTTTTAAAGGTTTGAGAGGCCTGTATGATTTATATTCTCTTTTGATTTCAGGCTGTCTGTCTGTGATGAAGACAAGTTCGGGCATAATGAGTTTATTGGGGAAACCCGAGTGGCGCTGAAGAAACTGAAGTTGAACCAGAAGAAAAACTTCAACGTGTGTCTGGAGAGAGTCATCCCTGTGAGTGAAACTCAATTGCATTCAAACAATGCTTTGTTCTTCTTGTCGGAATCTCTTATTGACCTGCTGTAATCTTGTTCCACCCTCGCAGACAAAGAGAACTGCAACAGCCGGGGGAGCCAGAGGCATCGCTCTCTACGAAGATGAGGCAATGCTTTTATTTCCAAGCATGCCTGAACATGACAGATTCCTCCAGAGAATTTTTGCAAAGCCTCATCATGCATCCTACTGAACTATTTTCCCTCCTCTGTCTTAGCAAGGGAAAGATGGCGGAGAGGTAGAGGAGCGCGGCCGGATTCTGATCTCCCTCATGTACAGCACCCAGCAGAATCGTCTCCTCGTGGGTGTTGTACGCTGTGTTCACCTGGCTGCCATGGATGCTAATGGCTATTCTGACCCATATGTCAAAATGTAGGTAGAGCAGGATTAGACACACATTTCGATTTTAAATGTATGACTCTAGAAATGGAATAAATAAATTATATTACATTTTCAGATGTCTGAAACCTGACATGGGGAAGAAGGCCAAGTGCAAAACACAAATCAAGAAGAGGACTTTAAACCCAGAGTTTAATGAGGTTTGTAAGAGAGTTCAAGGTGAAGGGCTGCAAATAACAAAAATGAGCATATTCCAAAATTATTATCAAATCATTTGGGTTGATATTCTTGGCAACTCAAGTATGAAAAATGTTAATAAGTGGCTTGAAATTTTTTTAAATTTATGTCTTGATCAAATTTCAGGAATTCGGCTATGAGATTAAACTCAGTGACCTGGCCAAGAAGAGTTTAGATATCTCTGTTTGGGATTACGATATTGGGAAGTCCAACGACTACATCGGTAAATATTTGATCATAATTGCTTTGATGAATTAAAAGTACAACTGCCACTTGCTTACCAACGCCTGCCTTTCACTCCTCCCTGACAGGTGGGTGTCAGCTGGGTATCACTGCCAAAGGAGAGAGGCTGAAGCACTGGTATGAGTGTCTGAAGAACAAGGACAAGAGGATTGAGCGCTGGCACACCTTGTATAATGAGACTCCCGTAACTAGTGATTAACCATTTGCCCCCCCCACACATACAGCATGAGCTAAAACCTCCCAACTTGGTTTGCATTCATCTCTTAATGCACCTTCATTGTGTTATCAACTCTTTCACTACCTGGCCATCACACAGGCTTACTCACCTCCCTTCCCCTGATGTACCCTCTTCTTTCCAGTCTTCTTATTAACAATTTGTCTGCCTGTGCTGATACTTAATCTGCCTCTGGGACAAATCAAGGCATATATGAATTAGAGATTTCACTAATTTAATTAAGATATATGTGAACAAACAGCTGCACAAGGACCATCATGCCTGTCAGTGATGTTATATATTGTGCTGAACGTGACACATTGCTAAAGAAAATTAATTGCACTGGCACAGAACTAGAAAAGCAATATGTAAGGGCATCTGAGGTAAAACAAAATCATCAATCAAGTTGTAAAAGCCGCGATTGGGCTCATAAATTCATTAGCCTGTCAGGGAATATGTTTTTTGGGGGATTTCTTGTGGGATAACATCATGCTGTAGTGCAACACTTGAAATGTATACGCATGCCAAGCCACAGACAAAAGAAAACACGCAGCTGCACCATCAAAGATTTCAACTGTGCCCACTGTCCTGAACATATTGTATATTTCCATGAAGAAATGTTTACATACGGATACATTGCTCAGGTTAGGATAGACATCTAATATATACAGATGATTCATATGTCAGTGGACCATGAGCTGAATCTTTCAGCTGCTGTTGATTTGTGATTTAAACATATGGCACATCTAGTTAAACATTAGGATGTGTATGTATTGTTATTCAAACTGTGAATTATGATTTGTGAGAAGTATTAACTGTGTGATTAGAGAAAAGTTTTTTGTTTGTTTATTTATTTGTTATGGTGAGAATTAGCAGGAACAAGGATTTTCCTCCTGCTTCCTCAACTTTTCTGAAGCTCTGACACCTCAGAGGTTTTCTAGAGTAGTGTTTACACTAAATGCACACAGTGAAATCCGGCTGCTCCACTTAACAAGGAGAGAAGGTGGAACAGGTTATGTCATATGTGCAGCTTTACCTGCATGCACAGTGCTCCTGACACTGGCGTGCCTGGGCAGTCCGCTTTTACCCCAACGCGCACAGCAGGGCCCGTTTCCCCTCTGCCACACCCAATCATTAAAGGCTTTAGTGTGTGTTTGTTCACCAATCACAGCAAACCAAGGAAAGCACACATTACAAAGTGGAATGACCTCAATTTATACACCTGTTTGCAAGTTATTCCAATGTCAAAATACACATAATAAAGACGAAAACAAAAAAACCTATGCATGAAAGGTCTTGTGGTTCAAGATATATATACTTTGTAAGAAATGAATGCTATTGTATTTCCATCAATGTTTCCACTTAATCCCCATAACATTCTATATACAAGAGGCCATATTCTGCATGGTAACTATGGTGTAAGCTGAATAAACTGGTCTGATAGCATCCCCAGCATAGACTGATAATCACCTGAGCACATCATCACAAGACTTTATCCGACTCTATCAGTAGCAGATATTGAATTAAGTGTCATCCGTTAAATGAGACTTTCTGTACAGAAGCATTCCAATCTCTCCAGTGTCTTGTTTTCTTTGCACAGCCACTCATGTGGCCGTGATTCAAACACCCATCAGTAGCATCACACACTGTCCTATGTTGTGCTACCTACATACAGTGATCACCAGATGATGATCAACATACAAAATAACCAAGAGTTTTATTTTCTAACAGGCTTTTCTCTGAGTTTAACCCATCGCTGTCTTCTACTTGATTCTGCCAGTTCAGTGGAATGTTTCTTGGTTTATCTCTGTATTTGTACATAGATAGTGCATGCACTGGGAAATATGTATGTTTGCAAATAACTTTGCATGTAAAGATTTTGCAGAAAGTTTACACAGATCAATAAAATCGAATGAAAAGTGATAAGCCTCCTTTGCGTAAGGACCTATCAGAGTCAAGGTATGATTTTGTGACTATGAGTGATGACCATCACGGAAGATGAAAGTGGAGCTGCATACAGTATATTTACAAGTAGGTCAGACTTTCGTGATTAAATGAAGGATGCAATAGAAACAAGTAAAAGGATATAGAAAGAATATGTCCTGATGTTTGCTTGCTTGATATTTTAATGTCAATGCTACCAGCCTAGCGTAACATTTAATTAATCACATGTAACCATCAAACAATAGATCTTCAGTCAGAATTATTCTTTATTTAGCCACACCTTAACGGTCAGTCTACTTTTCAGTTGGAAACAGGTAACGACAGCTTTGCAGCTTTTGTCCTAAATCTAGGTGGAGACTGATGTGGAGTGCAGAGGAGTTTCCTGATTTACACCCTATAGTCACATTGTGTACAGGTTGATAAAATGCAAAAAATCAGATATGCGTCACTCAGAAAACTGTAGCCTATTGATTAGTTTAAACTTGGAATCTATAACTTTGCAAATCTGCCAATATGCCTTTATAAAATGCCGGTCGGAGTCACGCCACTCTCAAACACCGCAATACGGAGGCGTGTCATATTCCTAACGAGCCTCCATTGTGGAAGACCAATAACAGGAGCTCTCAGCTCAAACCGTTTACGCCGGAGGCTCACATGCCTTCATCATACAGAGACAGACGCCTTTATTAAGCCGGTTGGTGCAGAAAAATACACTGAGGCTACATTTCATGTGGAATAATTCGTCCATTCAGACGTTCATTTAACCCTTCAAAGTTTGCTGGATTAATTATACACCAATTTTACTTTGAGATGCAAAGCAGGTGCATGCTACAAGTTGTTTTCGTCGTATCGTCGCTAATTTTATCCAAAGCACAACATGTGATCGGATCAGGTCACTCCTGTCTCAGATCGAGTCCTGCAGAACACGGACAGACGCGCATCACGTTTCTGCGCGAGGACGCGGCCGGTGTGCGCTCCTTGTACGTCAGCCTGTGGTCCGAGGATACGCAACCGGTAATATGCGAGGTAAATACCAATCCAATTGTCATGGACAGATACTGCAGTATTTGCGACAGAAGCGGCACCCAGGGCCAAGAAATCACCCAGAGGTTTAACATCAGCAAGCTGTTGTCTCCGGATTCTCCGTGCGCGCTCGTCTCCTCCAGTGTGCCAAAGTTTACCAAGCGCACAAGAAGAGATGGGACAGTCGGGAAAGTTCGGAGGAAACGGGCATGGATATTCCCGGGGACGCTGTGGTGTGGTACTGGCAGCAAAGCGGCCGGATACGAACAGTTAGGTGAGGATGATGAACTCAGATTTTATGATTTTGCTACTTTTCCTCCATTGTGTACCTCGGGTAAACTCTATTTGGCTCTAAAATCCTTAGCACTTCCTTGACATTGTAGAGTGATTTCCATAGGAGATTAATGTATTATAAAATATTGATTATACATTTATCAAATAGTAAATATGAACTTCAACATTGAAGTCCCCATATTCATATTAGGCAAATATCACTGGTATTTGTCACGAGATTAAAAACACAAACTGTAATTTGCATACTTCAGAGTGATAAAGATCACTATTGGTATGTTTTACTGAATTTAATTACGTTGAACTGAATTGATATGTTTGTCAATGTAGAAAGCACGACACAAACCAACAACATTGTTGGGACATTATTTAAATTAAGTGGACCTGATACGTATGTTGCACAAAATTTAAAATAAAAATTTGAAATGAAAGTGGGCTTGACATTTACATCAAAAAGATGTTCTTCAGTAGGTATTTTATATGAGAGATATGGTTTTACAACCCGCACATTTTAATGATCAAATACCTGTCTTTTAAGCTTTTTGATTTTGAATTATAGGCAAGAAATTCTTGAGGACTTGCTTCCATGTAAAGTGGCCTTTGATATGTGATTGAATTCAAATGTTGTTTGCCTGCACAGGGATGTTTGAGAGTGCAGATACATGCTGCCGTGAGCACGACCACTGCCTGCATGTCATCCTGTCTTTCACAGTGAATTATGGAGTCTTCAACTCCAACTTCTTTAGCGTCTCACACTGTGACTGTGACCAAAGGTGAGCCTCACAATGCACACCCCTGGTTATCTAACGCTAAGTATTTGCCGCCTCCAGAGAAAGTGCTGCAACCAGCGACCCCCATCTCCCCCCGACCTTTCCACATAATGCTCTGGCAAGCATGGTCAAGTCAGGATAGACCCGCTCAAAGGTTGAATTTGAAGTGTTGCAGACGTTGTGGGCATCTGCATTTCCTATACCTTACACTTCGTACTCATGAAAGTGTCCTCTCTGTAATGCCAGTATCATATTTTTATTCTGACTATGCCAATAACTTTAATCACTGCAATCAGCCCTCCGGAAGATCTTTCGATGTCAAGAGTCAAAACGTTGCTTGCTTCTTTGGTGTTTGCTGGGCATAACATTCCTCCTTTTTACTGTATTAAACATTGCAGAGACATCTGTATTATTCAGACTTTACATCTTTACAACAGGTGCATGTGTAATATGTTTGCCCTTTGACTCTTGGTGTTCTTTCGCAAGTAACTGACACTCATTTCAAGAATTCACCTCCTTGCTAAAAAGGTTATGTATAAACAGTTTGGTCTACCCGAAAGGTATAGACAAAATAAGGCAGCAGTCAAGGATATTTATCCTCCTTGTGCGTTTTAGTTTTGACTTGACTGTTGCCTGACCTCCGCTTGTTCTTTTTATGCCACCCAGGTTTCGACAGTGCCTTCTCGGTGTGAATGATACCATTTCCAGCATGGTGGGCTACAGCTTCTTCAACATCCTGCAGGTTCCCTGCTTTAGGCTCAAACAGCAGATGCGATGCACTGAGATGTACTGGTGGGGAACGTAAGAGACACACTGACGTGGTTTCCCAAAGTTTTAATTTACATATTGTTAGACGCAACAGTATACTGTTGCGTCTAACGATCACTTATAAGTGCACACCATAGATTCATAGAAAATGCAGGAATGGTTATATGGAAAGCCAGAGCAGCGGATTGCTTGTAATAACATGCCTGACACTCTTCCAAAACTCACTAAATTATGAAAGGCACCGTTCCAAACCTCTGCTCTGTTTCCACAACTTTCTTTATCAGGTTACTAACTAATTGTCGTACAAACAAGAAATGATTAATGGTAAACTAGCAGTCTAGCATTAATGCTACTGCATTGACAAACAATATAATAACTATCAAAGATTTGTGTGTGAGTGACTGATTCTTGACTTTCACAGTGTTAGTGTAATAGTCTTCCTTCAAATGACAGATCATGATCCCAAATAGCGATACAAAGTGTACCTCTTCGAACTTAAATAAATATGCAATGATTTTGTCAATTAAAGTTAAAAATGCAGCAGATAAAGTCATGGCTTGGTTTTAACTTGCATTGTTGCTCTCTATAGGTGTAAAGTAGCCAAAAAGGCTCCCTTTGCTGTCTTCCAAAACCCCCTCCCCTACGCTGATGTTACAAGCAATAATGGGGACAACACTGACAGCAACATGGTAGCAAGTAGCAAGGAGAAGCATACCGAAAGCTTTGTGATCAACCCATGCAAAAAGTCCCCCAAAAGTGAACGTAGATGGAACTCCAGAGACACATCCAGAGGAGACACTTTCTACCTCAGAAGGACAAAAGGGAAAGGATGTAAAAGACACAGGAAACTGGATACAACACCATCCCAAATGCCCACGATGTCAAGTGTGTACACCACTAGTCCTTCAATGAAAATCAGCCTTTTCAATGCTTCTAAAAATACTGCAATGGTGCCGATTAAAAAAAGAATTGGAAAAAAGAAGAGCAACAGTAAGGGCCTGTCGGATTACGTCACACAGAAAAGCCAAGTTCCACCACAGGTGAACACAAACTCTTATCCACAAACAACATCTACAACACAAAGCGCCCCATATTTAATACAGAAGCCAGCGCTGCAGCTACACTTACCAACAGCCGTCACGGCAGTGACCAAAAGTCGCAAAACATTTCCAAAGCAAAGTCGTTGTTATGGATTGCGGATGCCTCTCAGAGGTGACACATTTCAGTCTCATTTTAAAACTTGTCTCGAACAAAATACAACATCTAGCGTGACAACTGTTACTCCCTCAACAACTACATATGGAATACCAATCGAAGTAGCAACAGATAGGACTCTGAGGCTCACACAGACAACAGAAACACCCAAACAAGACACTCTAAAAAGACTCTGGAGTACAGCTTCTGCAACGGCAGTCATAACAAAACCGGAGATAGCAACCTCCATTCATGAGGAAGGCAAGCCACAAAAGCCGATGGATTCCACTCTACAGCAGAATAATACACGGCAAGAGGCCATGGGTCACAGCACCATAGCCCAAAGTACACATGCAGGAAGACGCCTGAAGCATAATATTGCATTAGATAATGTGACAGGTGAGTGCATGCAGCTGAGAAATCCATCACATCTGCGGGGGCCTTTTTCAGCATAAAAGGCCTTTCCTCAGCAATATTACACTATTAAAACCATGTATTTAGACATTATTATTATGATACTATGATGAGCAACGCTGCCGCTATGAAAAGCTGATGATAAGGTCTTACATTTTGAAAGAGCCCACAATGGCACTGGAAATATTGCACCTAAAAAGGAGGCCCGGGGCATTATTCTTGTAAGGACCTCGAGCTACCATGCGATCTCGTTGTGCCCTCTACAGGTGGGACAGAATTTTCACTACAGATGATGCACTTTTTTTGATTCAGTATAGGTGAAAAGAAATGTGGGTACATTTCAATCATTTAGGAGATAACCAGTGTTTACTTTTCACTCCTTCAGACAATCAACTCCTGTGTGGAAGCCTCAAACAGCTAGATGGATGTAAATACATCATCCTTCCTTTGGAGAAGAAGTATGATCTGCAGAACGTGGAGTCAAAGACTGCATACCACTGTGATTGCACCAGCCGGTAACTTTTTTGTATCCCTGCTAGCTTTTCCTCGTATTTATATATTCACATATGCAAGTCTCACAAATGAAAAATATATTTTTTTCCTGAATTTAAAATCATTCAGATATCTGCAAGGGGCCTGATTTACAAAGGAGCTGGATATCTACACTGAGTAAAGCATGGAACATATCTTTTTCTCCAGTCCATGTTTTAAGTTTAAATGGGCCCAGGTTTTACTCAGACAATTTATCCTTATAACTTAGTGATCCTTTTTCCATTAGACAGGCCAATGTTCTACTGTGTTTACTGCTGTAGATAAAAAATTGTAATATTAGACATTTTTGATTTTGTGTTGTCTTATGTGTTTTGGCCACAATACCAATAGTTCAGCATAACGTTATTCTCCTCCCTGGAAACAGCTTTACAAGGTGGTCCATTGAGGCCAAGGAAATACAAGCCTTACACAGCTTTTGAACCAATCCAAACTAAACGCTGTTCTCCCAGTAATCCATTATGACTTTGTTTTGCATTCCTGAGCTACTTCAAGGTTTGACCTTCATATTGCAGTGTGATGAAGTAACCAGGGCAACTTTATCATAAGGTCTAAATGAAGCACAACAGGGTTTTTTTTTCTTTTTGTTTAAAGAACAATTGCGGTGGCGCCATTGAAAGTTAAGCTGTTTCCAGCAGAGTTTCCACATTCTTCACCCTGATAGGGGGAGTATAGTTTAATAATAAACTAGGCATAATTGACAAAAAAATAACAATGAGACCAAGGTAATAAAAAAACAAAAACTTAGAGTTCGTTGTTGTCCAGTCACACCCTTTGAAATACATGTCAACAGACCTTTTTCCCAGCAGACATTGTGACTTGTCATAAAAAGTGTTACTCATAATGATAACGATGGCTTTGTTCAAATTAAGTGTCCCAGTAACCCACGACAGTGTGACAGTGAACCAGCTGCAATAAACCTTTTTCACAGCATATATTTTGGCCGGTCACAGCAGGAAAAGCACAGGTGACATTAATGACATAAACGATGGCGGCATATCATTTAGTTTTGGCAGTTCGACAGCTCTTGCATTGTGCATGCTAGCTCAATAGGTCCTTTTCACAGCAGCTATTTGACATGTGAGTGCAGAGTAAATACAGGTGTTATTAATAACACTGATTATGACACATTTTTATAATTAGTCAACATGTCTGCTGTGAAAAGGCCTATACATTTTGGAATGAAGGCAGGTTACAAATAGTGATGTTTGATTATGTATTGTGACTCCTTCTACTGTGTGCAACACTCACGCATAGGCTACAGCAGCACATGCATGCAGACTATTATTGCTCATTCTTATCCCCAGCATGTTATAAGGAATGAGGAAGGCCTGCCCCCACAGGCAGCTTTCTCTTTCTTTGTCTGTGTCTCTCTCTGAGTCACGCACCAATTCATGTTGGATATACATCACACTCTATTGTTTCATTCCTGCCGTGTTGCTCACTTTATTTCTGCATGCGAGGTTGTTAATGTTCTCTGCTTGTCTTTTTGTCGCTGTTACAGCTTGGCTGTTCTGATTGAAAGCTTCAAGGAACCCAGTGTTCTCCCCAAGCTACTAATGGATTTCGTCTCTCAATACTGCTTTAAACTGCCAAACGAGAGAAAATGCCACCGCCGGAAAAGGTTTTAAGCTCAGATAAACTTATTCATGTTAATCTTAGACAACTTTTGGCTAGAGCAGTGCCAGTCCTGTCTAATGTGTGAACTCAGTTTGCTTGTATAATAGATTATCAGGTTGGTTTCTGACACTTTTTATGTTTCTTTTCCAGCTGTGGAGGCTTCTCTAAAGCCTCTGACCTACTTCAAGCACTTAGTATGATGGAGGAAAAAGACACTGCTGGGGTGCAAAATTCAGGCAATGACAGAAGAAGAGGCATCCCTACTCGTCTTTATAAGCGATGCCTGAGGCTGATAAGGGAAGCTGATGTTGTGGCACAGCTCACATGATTTTAAACTAAGCTTCTGTTAATAGCAACAATGAATTTGATACGCTTTTTTTTTCATGCAGCGTTTTTTGTTTCTCTCTGATGGTGTTAAATGGCAGTGTGTTAGAAGACATGGGACTCAAACTCTTTAATATGAAATATTTGTAAGTATGCCATTGATGTATATTTTGTATATTTATAAAGAACTGCAATAAAAACTGAAAACATCAGATTGTGCATTGAAAATGCTTAGTTTATGCTTCTGTTTAAATTTAGTTCGAGATTAAAATTGTGTGTCATGAGAATTTTCCCAAATTATCACAGAGTGGCGTGTTATTACCTGCACTGCATGTTGATTGAGTAAGGAACAATAACTAGATCCACATTGCTTTCCAAAACAACCCACAACCAGCCAGTAATCATAATCCTATATGAGAAAAATGCAGCACCAAATTCTTTGTTTAATGTACAACCTCAGCAATACATATTTATTAATGGAAACAAACATTGTAACACTTCAATGTCGTGTGATATACTCTCATTTTGTGATGTAGAAGTATATGTTTTGCTACTTTGATAAAACATCCTTGATCCAAAATCGCTTTGTAAAGACTACCAGTACAATGTAAACCTCATCTGCCATTTCATTTCATGAAATCTAGCTCTTACAATGTGTTGCATCAGTGTTTTAGTCATGTATTCTTATTTAAAAGGTATGATATGGAAATTGGCTACATCAGTTGTTTGAAATAAATTCAAAGATCCATCTCTGTGAAACGAGACAATCGTCAGATATTTACCTCCCAAAAAATGTCACCAGGGCCAGGTGTCAGAATTTAGGGGTCCCAATTTTATAGTATTCTTTTTGTCATAGGCTCAATAAAGATTTATATTCTGATGTTAAAAATATAAAAATGTTTTTCTCCACTTATTTTTGCTTTTACCTGATTGTACACTTTTATAGAGTGATAATAGGCAAGTAAAAACAGACCGTAGTTGTCACCTCAAAGATTTTTAACTTCTCACTGTTCTGTAAACGTTTCGATTATTTGATAAAAAAAAACAAAGAATTCATGTTGTGTCCCACAGCTCAATATCAAGGATGACATAGTTAAGTGCAAAAATGTATCTCTAAAATGTGGTCAAATGTTTACTACAGACAGCAAATATACAGGTCACCATGACTCCTCCTCCAAACCTTGAGGTTTATTATACAATTGTATAACAAAACTCTGATATACATGATAATTTTCCCTTGTGTTATTGTTACATGTATGTGTTGTTAGACACCAAAATCAACTCGTGAATTTTTGACAGCTTTTATTCTGGCCCGCGGTGCATGCTGGGAGCCGCAAGTTGGCCTTGGAAACATGGCGTTGCACTGACAGCTGGGAGACTCTCATTATCTTCTCCAGCCACTGACACAGCGCCCGGGCCGTTAGCGAAGCTGTTTACGTTCACACTTGTGCTGTGAAATGAGCTCACTACAGATGCTGTCTTCGTCCCGAAAAGACACTCGTATTAACGGTGCGGCGCAATAACGGATTTAGTACGGGTGTCACGCCCACTCTGCTCGGTAACGTTATAACGATACCTTACGGTAAGTTAGCATCGCGTCCAGCTAACCGAGCCAGACAGCTAGCAGCTACCGTTAGCACGACACGAACACCCAGGCTATGCGAAGAGGAACTGCCATAACTGTCTGTTCGTTGCTTGGCTGCCCTATTAGCTCGCACCTTGTAGCACAAACGTTTCAGTCGGCCCCGTCAAACACTATTGTCAGATAAGAGGGCGGCAGTTTTGTTATTGTTGCTCGCTAGCAGGCGAACTAGGGCGTTTCTGTCATTCTGTCACTGAATTTTTAATGTTCGACCCCTTTGGCATCACTGTCGGAGGAGAGAGCGATGGGCTCCGGGGCTGTGGATTCGTCCCAGTGGCTTTCGGTGAAGGAGGAGACCATTTTCCTCCACGACGGACTCATTCGGGTCACAGATCTGGCCGAGCTGCCCAGTGAAATTGGAGTGTCGGAGCAGGGGGACACCGAGCAAGAGGTGGGTGAATGCCATCTCACACAGGCACATGTTTATACGGTGTATAGAAACACGCACTCATTGCTATGATACGGATGTCTTTTTTATGTTTCTTTGAACGTAAAGTGTTTCATGTGTTTTCACTGACGAGCTGCAACACACCCTAACTAAGTGACAACGGCAGGGCTAACGTTAGCAAGATTCCTGCTTGTATGCTATTGGCCCACTGTCATGGAGACGACTACTGTCAGATCATTTCCTGTCATCTCCTCCAAAATATACGCGGTGGCAATCACCCAATTGCATGTAGTCGCTGTACCTCAGTTGCAAAGCTTCAACTTTATTAGTAGTGCCAGTGCAGCAGCTTTCATAGACGGGCAACTTCTCAGATTGCACCACACAGTGAACATCTCCTTGGATCCTCCAATCAGTCATGACCCATGCCCTGAACTCTTGTTCCCTAAACACAAAGAAGCAATGTTATGTCACATGATGAATGTTGGGTATATGCTGTGTATGGCCGATGTGGGCTTTTTATACCTAAAAAAATTCTATATTGTTATTGTTGTATTCATCAAGTTGTCCCTAATTTTAGTTTTGTGCCTTGTGCAAAGCAGAAAGTGTCTCACTTTCAGTGAAAATGTATAATGTACCCTAAAGTGCAGTGGATGTTTATCTGGAATATAGGCTTTTATTTTGAAGGCAGAATCTCGAAAACCGGACGTGCCTATGTTGCTAGATTGTGGAGTTTTTACAGTGATGCTGATGGAAACTTCGAGCCGACAACTGGCAAATTCCTGGCTTAGAAGCACAAATGTCTTTTTTAAATAATTGTTTTGCGGACAACATAAAGCAAGCTAAAACACTCAAAATGAAAATTAATATCCTGAAGAAATTAATATTGTTATTGTGCTAATATTCCATATAATGTTTGTTGGAGAAGGCTATGCTATAACAGTTGTCAAGCTCATAGCTATGTGATCGGAGAAGTGGAAAGTTGGCACAGTTCCACACTTCATAGGGGGGAGTATGTTGGTGTTGGTGTAAGGCTTGTTGTGCTCCTCAACAGACACTGCCTGCTAGATTTAATGTTTATAATGTACAGTGTGGTGCGTTCAACTGTACAAATTCAGCTGGTTGTGTTACTAGAGCATAATGTCTTTTCACCTAACCTATTGACCAATTGTTTTAACTAGTGCTATTAATAACCAGCTTGTTATTCTACAATTCAATGCCACATCATATTCAGCAGGAGTTGTACGAACAGCTGCAAATGGCTACTTTACTATTCAGCCATCAGCCACATACTGTCCTAGTACAAGTACATATGTTCAATCAGCAGCTTTGACAGATGACAAACCACTGGTTAATTAATGAATGTGAATGGGAGGGTTTGAACCCCTCACCCGCTGTTTTTTCATTTAGTAAAAATAAATAACATGCATGCAGTGACGCAGCTTCTGAAGAACCAATGTTGATTTACTGGTTAAGGCAGGATAACTGACAGCTGGACATTTCTTTTGTGAAAATGCACAAGAAGCTGTTGAGAGCACCACTGTTTGGTTTAGCAGCATGAATTCAGGGCTGCTTTTTACTTTTAAACATCTAAACGAGCAGGCAGTGTTTAATTTTCACTATATTCTAACAGTGCCAGTCATGGTAACCTACAACAAGAAACACTAAATTGTTAAGACATTGGACATATGGCGTTTTATGAAGTCAAATTGTTCAACTTCCATATACAGTTGTGTGAAAAAGTGTTTGCCCCCTTCCTGATTTCTTATTTTTTTGCATGTTTGTCACACTTAAATGTTTCAGATCAAACAAATTTAAATATTAGACAAAGATAACACAAGTAAACACAAAATGCAGTTTTTAAAATGAAGGTTTTTATTATTAAGGGGGAAAAAAAAATCCAAACCTACATGGCCCCTGTGTGAAAAAGTGATTGCCCCCTAAACCTAATAACTGGTTGGGCCAGCAGCAACAACTGCAATCAAGCATTTGCGATATCTGGCAATGAGTCTTTTACAGTGCTGTAGAGGAATTTTGGCCCACTCATCTTTGCAGAATTGTTGTAATTCAGCCACATTGGAGGGTTTTCGAGCATGAACTGCATTTTTAAGGTCATGGCACAGCATCTCAATCGGATTCAGGTCGGGACTTTGACTAGGCCACTCCAAAGTCTTAATTTTGTTTTTTTTAAGCCATTCAGAGGTGGACTTGCTGGTGTGTTTTGGATCATTGTCCTGCTGCAGAACCCAAGTGCGCTTCAGCTTGAGGTCAAACAGATGGCCGGACATTCTCCTTCAGGATTTTTTGGTAGACAGCAGAATTCATGGTTCCATTTACCACAGCAAGTCTTCCAGGTCCTGAAGCAGCAAAACAGCCCCAGACCATCACACTACCACCACCACATTTTACTGTTGGTATGATGTTCCTTTTCTGAAATGCCGTGTTACTTTTACGCCAGATGTAATGGGACATACACCTTCCAAAAAGTTCAACTTTTGTCTCGTCAGTCCACAGAGTATTTTCCCAA